GGGCGGGGCGGGCCCCTGGTAACTGCGCCGTGTGCGACACATCCGCCTCTGGCTCCACATGCGCAACCCTCAGCGACCAGCCGCCATGAGCCGCCGCCGCCGCAGCAGCAGCAGCAGCCTGTGCACAGCCAAGGCGAAGGCGCCCTCCCCCGTGGAGTGGAGAGGCCCGCCCCGGACGCGACGCCCAGCGACGCCCCTCCTCGGCCCGCCGCGCGCCCCACGGGGCCGAAGGTCGCCAGAACGGCCTGGTCGGGGCCCCGCGGGGCCTGGCCCCCGCCGCCGGGTTGCCCCGGGCCGCTTATCTGCGACTGCGCCGACACGGTTGCATCAGAGCAGCGCCACTGGCGGCCGCCGCGCTTTAGAAGCGGAGCTCCTGAACCGAGTCGCCGATATCGTGGCGGCAATCGTTGAATTTATTCATGTGCCAAACGGCCAGGCCAGCTCGTCATCGCCGCCGACGCGCAGATCCGACGACGGCGCTGTGATTCTAGAGCGAGAGAGGCCCGCGCCGCTCGCGGGGGCAGCTGGCGCGGCTCCTCCACCTCCACCCACCCCTGAGCGCGCAGGGGACGCACCCCCGCCTGCGGGCGGGCCCCCGCGACCTCGGGCGCCCAGCGCTGCGGCTGCAGCAGCCGCCGGACTGCCCCGGGCCGGACGCGCCTGCTGCTCCTCGGCTGGCCGTCGCCCGGCCATGGTTGGTTGAACCATGAGCGGGTAGGCCATCCATGATGTCGCGGCGTGGCGCGGCGTGGTGGAACCACGCTTGGCAGTGTCGTGCTGCAGCGGCGTTGCCGCTCCGGTCGCTCCGACGACCCCGTGCCAGCCCAGCGGCTGCGCTGCGGCTGCTTGGCGCGGCTTGGCGCGGCTTGGCGCGCCTCTCTGCAGAGGTCGCGCGGGCCCAGCCGGTCGACACCCGACCGCACCGATCTGGGTTTGAGTTTTGGCACGTCGTTGTAGTAAAAGCCTCCTCGAGTATCTAGGTCGCGTACGTGTGGCAGAGTAGAGACCCACAGGAAGGGGTTTTAAAACATTTGCACAGCAAACATACATTCGTGGATTTGGAGTGTTGAACACAGCAGCACTCTCGAGGAAGGGTTGCAAGGTAACTTAACTTGCTTCACGTCACAACATAATACAAAGGAACACAAGCAACACAAGCACACTCCGACCAAGAGAATCAAGTATTCAAAGAAGTACTGAAACCATGAGCACATTTTGGGGGGCTTTAGAAAGGTTTCTTAAAATGAGTTTTAAATTGCCCAAATGCATTCAACCATTTTGACATTCTTCTCAACAAAGTTGGCTTTTATCATCCCTGCAGATGTCTTGGCGCTGCATCTCAAACCGATATGGAAATATGGACATTCATAGCTTCATAAATTTCGGCTGATGCCTTACAGAACACAGAAACACCGAGCGCGGTACGGACATTACAAGAAACAAAAGTACTGTCGAGACGCACGCGGGTACTAAAACGGTGTGAATGTCCAACTTTAGTACAAGGGCCGCTAGCCGCTGCTGCTCCTCAACCAATATGGTCCAAAGACCTTTGGATAACCCCAACGTGCCCCCAGGGTCGACCCCTTCACGTGCCCTCAGGCCGAGAAGGGCCGCTGCTCCCCAAAGCCAGAGCAGCCCCTTGCAGTGCCCCCCACAGCATGGCCCACCACCACCGCCCACCACCAACCATCACAGCGCGATGACGTAATCAGCCGAGCGGCATGTCAGAGACCCAGGGGGAACGGCGAGACAATGGCGCGATGTGGGCAAGTTGTGCAACTGTATAGGACAGGGAACTCGAAAGGAGAACTCTGGCGTCGTATACAGGGTTGCACACCACATACCTCGGACAATTTTTCAGTTGTACTGTACCGCGTGCAGCCATGCGGGCGGGCCGGGGCATGGAGCTTGCTTGCCTACCACCTCTCACGACACGGCGCATTGTGGCCCCTTGCGAGCAGGCAATCCGTCCACACGGCTGCATGCGGTACAGTATAACTACGAAATTGTCCGGGGTATGTGTGGGCTACCCTGTCTAGTTGGAAACGCACAAATCGAAAGAAATGGGGTAAGATTGCAGTTGCGACACCAAAGAGTAGCACAACGGTACATGGAACAGAATACGGACCTATCAACTCTCATGCACAATGAGAATTCCTTGCGAATGATTTATTCGTATTGCGAAGAACTTGGATGCTTTGTAATCCTCTCTTCGCATTACACAGGTAAGCATTCATAATTGTGGCCTTCTAAGGGGCCGAAAGTTGGCCTTTCTTAAAAGGATAGTAATAAAGTTTGGTAAAAATAATTGCCAAAAGAAGGCTAAAGTTTGAAACCAAAAAGGAGTGAAAAATGTTGGCAAGCTTGGAGCGTTTGGACCACGTCGTTTAAAGTGAAGTGCCAGGACGAAGATACAAGCTTTTGACATGAAGCCAGTGGAGATCTCCCTTTACTTGGGGTTCAAGCTAGTGCAGACTCAGAGAGGTGGCGGCGCCCGTTCGCCATTTGATGAGTAAATTTAGAATCGAGCCAATAGAACCCTTGTGCCCCTCTCTCCACCGCAAATACCCGGGCGCCTTCAAGGACTTTTCAAGTGGTGCCCAACAACCAGTGAATTTCTCCGCAGGGGTGCGCTAAACCGGGAGGGAGAGGGGGGATTCAATTATTTTGATACAAAACAGACGAAATTTTCGCCCTAAGGGTCACAAAATGGTGCATTTACTTTGGAAAGCAATATTTTGTCCGAAAATTTTAAGTTTGAAAATGCACTGATAAACTAAGTGTGCAACTGTAAGTTAGATACTTACAAGTGTGCAACTGCAAGTTAAATACTTGCAAGTGTGCAACTCGGTAGGTGTGCACTTGCAAGTGTGTAACTCCTCGGTTGAACACTTCCTACTGTACACAGTAAGCGTCCAATCTAAGGAAGTGTGCAACCGAGGAGTTGCACACTTGCAAGTGCACATCTACTGAGTTTAATACTTGCAAGTAAGTGCACGACTACGGAGTTGGACACTTACAAGTATTCAACTTGCAGTTGCACACTTACAAGTGTTGAGCAGTTGCCTAGTTGAACACTTAGTTTATCAGTGTGGGGGACTTTAATGGGAATCTCTTCAGTTACTTCAGTTTCGACCTCCTTCCCCAGGTAGCAGAGCTGCATAAAATGTGTGCATTTTGTGTCCACTCTAAAAAGCGCCTAAAGCGTGTGTAGGCGCCTAATATGCGCGTCCATGCGCCTAAAATGCGCGTTTTAGATGGGACATATAATGCGGTTCTAATGCAGTTTGCTCCAATTTGCTACCTGGGTCGGGAGGGTCAAATATTGTCCAATCCTTTCCAGCAATTTTTAAAATTTGTTTATCACAAAACGACACCCGATGATCAACATGCCCTCCCCTCCCCCTCCCCCATATTTTAACCAAAGTTCTTTTTGGACTACCCTATATAATCATTGAGCAAAATAAGTGGATGGTTTTTCCACGCAAAAGTCACTAAGCGATCTATCTATTCTGTTTAGAGTGGCACATATGCCTGTCAGTTTGATTGTTGAGAACGCACCCGTTCGTGTGCTCGGGTGGGCCGGAGCCAGGCCGGGCGGACTTGCGGGCTCCCCACTGGGCGCGCCTCGAGGATAGGCAACCAGTCACTCCGAGGTCCGCGGCGGGCCTGCCTGCAGCGCCTGTGGCCTCGCTGCGCCGCCCTTACCTCCTCGCCGCCTCGCCCAGCTGCACCACGCCACGGCCTGCGACGCAAAACCGACCATCTGTGCTGCTCGAATATTACCATGCACCAAATGGTGGCGAGTGGTATAGTGCGATGCCGCCGTATGAGCACTCGACAAACGAAGGGGAGACGATATCTCGACTCGGAGCCGTGGAAATCCCAAATGTGTACATGTATGCGTTACCCCCTGAATCCATGTATGCAGCAGGTACGCACTAAAATCTTATGCACTTTTTAGACTGCCCCCTGAAGACTGTCGCTAGTAGAAGGCAAAGTGCCCCTCCCCCTCTCCACTCCCCCTCCTCCCTATCTACAGCGCTGAGCGGGCGCCTAGCGTTTTTAGCAGATGATACCTTACAACCTTACACTAAACATGACTAGACATAAGTATACATTAGTAATGTAAGGAGTCATTGCTTTATTTGTTTATAGCTTACTGAAATCTGTAAACACCGTCACCTTACAGGATTTTCGAGGGTGCGGCTAGATTGTCTGACCTACAGTCGGTAGAGCATCCGCCCGGAGCGTGGGAGGTCCCTTAGGGCCGACCTGAAGTTC